AAAGTATTAGCCCAAGAGACAGAAAGGACCACATAAACCAGAGACTTCATCAGCCTGAGACCAGAAGAACTAAATGGTGCCCAGCTACCACCAATGACCACCCTGACAGGGAACACAACAGAGAGTCCCTGAAGGAGCAGAAGAAAGGTGGGGTGCAGAACTCAAATTCTAGTAAGAAGATCAGACTTAAAGGTCCAGAAAGCATGGCCCCTGGATTCTCTATCAGCCCAGAACTAAAATAATTTCCGAAGCCAACTCTTCAGACAGGGATCGGTCTGGACTGTGGGATGTAAAGTGATACTCTTGAGGAGTGTGCCTCTTAGCTCAAATAGATACAAGAGACTAAACGGGCAGCTTCTGTCTGGAGGTGAGATGGGAAGGCAGAGAGGGTTAGGAGCTGGTTAAATGGACATGGGGAATCAGGGGTGGAAAGGAGGAGTGTGCTGTCACAGTATGGGGAGAGCAATTAGAGTCACATAACAATGTATGTATAAGTTTTTGTATAGGAAAAAGTAAAAAAAAATCTTGACTCTTGATTATATGACTTAATAAATGTGATTTTTATATGTTATATAATGAAACATGTCGGCATTTGGAAAATCTGCAAAACTTGGTGAAATAATATTTTCCACATGCCAGGCATATGATGTCACAAAATCACACATGGTTAAAGAAATCCATTTAAGGTAGAACAATAGATTTTAACGGAACAGAGTACTAAAAGTGTATTGATGTTGTTTCACCTTCCACATTGCAACTAACCTTTAAGGAACTACCACTTGTCCAAATTTGGTGTAGTATTAAGGTCCCTGGGTGGTAAAAGTGGTTTGACTGGCTGCTGACTTAAAGGTTGGCAGTTCGAACCCACCCCAGCTACTCCACAGAAAAAAGGCCTGGTGAATTGCTTCCGTAAAGATTATAGCCAAGAAAACCCTATGGAGCAGATCTACTGTGTAACACATGGGGTCACCATGAGTCAGAATCAACTCACAGCAACAAGTTTTTTCGTTTGTTTGTTTTTATCAAAGAAGAATATCCACAATTATCTGAAAAGGCTTTTAAAATGCTCTTTCCTTTTCCAACTTTGCATATGGGTAAAACCGGGCTTTGTTTATATACTTCAACCAATTTAACAGACTGAATGCAGAATCAGATATGAGAATGAGCTGTCTTCTATTTAGCCAGATATTATAGAGACTTGGGGGGAAAAAAAAGTAAAATAATGCCACTCTTCTCCCATTTTTTGTTTTGAAAAATATTTTTATTTTTCATAAAAATATTATTTATGCTTGGTGCCCGGCTACCACTAATGACTGCCCTGACAGGGAACACAACAGAGTGCCCCTGACAGAGCAGGAAAAAAGTGGGATGCATAACTCAAATTCTAGTAAAAAGACCAGGCTTAATGGTCTGACTGGAACTGGAGGGACCCTGAAATACATGGCCCCTGGACTCTCTGTTGGCCCAGAGCTGAAACCGTTCCTGAGGCTAACTCTTCAAACAAAGACTAGACTGGACTATGGGACATAAAGTGATACTCATGAGGAGTGTGTTTCTTAGCTCAAAAAGATACATGAGACTAAATGCACAGCTCCTGTCCAGAGGCGAGATGAGACGGTAGAGAGGGTCAGGAGCTGGTTGAATGGACATGGGAAACCCGAGGTGGAAAGGAGGAGTGTGCTGTCACAGTATAGGGACTGCCACAGTATAGCAACTAAGGTCACAAAGCAATGTGTGTATAAATTTTTGTATGAGAAACTGACTTGAATTGCAAACTTTCACTTAATGCACAATAAAAAAAATGGGAAAAAATATATTTATGCTACTGGTAATGGGTTTATTGCTGTTATTTATAGATGAATTAATAACTATTTTCAAACTTTCTCAAATTTGATCTCTAATATAGAAAATATTGATAAATATAACCCACATAAATAAAAGCTCTCTGGGG